ACCGGAACATTGGCATTGATACAATCTATTGATCTATGTGATGTCCCAGTTTTGCTTGTATTCGTGTATGTGTGTGTGTGTGCACACGCGCATGTGTGCAGTTAGCTCTATGCAATTTAATCACATGGGTAGTTTTGTGTATCCACAGCCACAGTCACGATAGAGAATCATCCATCACCACAAGTATCCCACATTGGCCTATATAACCACTCCCACTTCCCTTCCTAACTACTTCAACCACTAATCTGTTATCTATTTCTAAAATTTTGCCATTGAAAAAATATTACATAATTTAAATCAAACAGCATATAACCTTTTGAGATTGGCTTTTTTTTCACTTAGCATAATTCCCTGGAAATTCATCCAACTGTTAAATGTATCAATAATTCATTCATTTTGGTTGTTTTATTAATTAAAGGTCCATAGTTTACATGACGTTCACTCTTTGTGTTGTAAATTCTCATAGATATGAAGAACAGATTGGTGGTTGTCAGAGGTCAGGGTGGGAGGAATGGGTAAAGTTGCTTTTGTTTTTTAGTTTAAATAAGTTGAAAAAACCCCACAGGGTTTCTTAGAGAAAGGCTGATTCCAGGTGGGGGCAACAAAGATATAGGTAAGTCTAGGACATTTGTGCCATAATGCAAACAAATTTTCCAAGACTAATGGGATTTTATGACAAGGAAACAGAGGGTACCTTGAAGGGACTTCCAATGGCTTTTTTTTTTTTAATGGCTGATAGATTTACTAAGAAAAAACAAAACTCAGTGGGTTTTGACAAATGCATAACGTTATGTATTCATCATTGTAGTATCATATAGAATAGTTTCACTGTCCCAAAATATCCCCTGTGCTTCATCTATTCATCCCTTTATCCCTCCCCTCCTCAACTACTGGCAACCACTGACTTTTTGCTGTTATTTATCATTCTAATATAACTTTTCAACTCATTTGGTTAAATACCTAGGAACCATGATTGCTGGACTATATGGTAAGACTACATTTGGTTTGTAAGAAACTAGAAATTGTCTTCCAAAGTGACTGTATTCCCACCAGCAATGAATGAGAGTCCCTGCTCTACATTTTTTGCTAGCATTTGGATTTTCCTGATTTTTGGATTCTAGTCATTCTAATAGGTGTGTTGTGGTATTTTTTTGTTTTAAAGAGCAACTCCCTAATGAAAAATGATGTTGATCATCTTTTTATATGCTTATTTGTCACCTTTGTCATCTTTTTATATGCTTATTTGTTACTTTGTTGCGGTATCTGTTCAGATCTTTTGTTCACTTCTTAATTGGGTTGTTTGTTGTCTTATTGTTAAGTTTTAAGCGTTCTTTGTATATTTTGCATACAAGTCCTTCATTATTAGATACTTGCTTGGTAAATATTTTCTCTCAGTCTTTGGCTTGTCTTTTCATTCTCTTAACAGTGTCTTTCGCAGAGCAGAAGTTTTTAATTTTAATGAAGTTCAACTTATCTACTTTTTCTTTCACATATCATGCTTTTGGTATTGGATCTAAAATCTCATTGCCAAATGACTATAGCAACATTTGCAAAAAGCAATCGACTTTAGTCTGGTACCCTGACATCATAGATAGAAAGTCCACGGGTAGTCTATAGGCAAATGCTACTGCAACTGAAAGAGAGGTAGAACTTATTACAATGTAAGAGAATAAGAAACAGAACAGGTAAAGTGCATGTGACAAGAGCATCCAGCATGTGATTTGGGGGGAGCTTTGTCACTCAGTAGCAAGAAACCTGTTACTGATGGCAGTTACTGTACAATATGAAAATGACCTTGAATTTGATTTTACATGGTTAAGCCAAGTATAAGAATGTGGAAGGGATCAAAGGTGTATATTGCCATTGTCCCTCAAATGGATGTCTGCAAGAGGGAACCAAGGTCAACAGACATTTTGCCTACTATTTTCAGATGGTGTTCAGAGTGTTTGGGACATTCATGACACAACAATGAAACCAGTCAACCAGACAGATAAGACTTCAGAGTTAGAGCTTGTCCCAGTTCAAGAGTGTGTGAAACCAGACTAACAGTGCACACTGTCAATCCAAACCAGGTAGCAAAAGTCACATTCCATGATAAAGAATTATTTATAATCTTAGTAAGAGGCAAACCCTCTAAAATCCCCAGAAAGCTAGCATACTCAATACCAGTCAAATCACATTATCCCCAGACCAAAATACTACGCAATTCTTGAGTTGTTCTGGAATTTTATAGTATTGAATATATTTGAAGTAAATAAGTCTGGGATATGAGAATCTTCTTTCTTAATGGCATTTTTATTTTAGTGAGATTTTTGTCACGTAACTATAGTTCAAAATGTAAGAATAAGAACATCTTTTAGACCACCCTGTGTGCGTATGTAAGCACATGTGTGAGCACGTGTGTGTGTGTGTGTGCGTGTGTGTGTGTGTGCGCACGTGTGTGTGTTAGTTCATTGAAAACACCTGTTTTCTAACTGAGGTCACTTCTGACTTGAGTCAGTGAACTCCTCCAACACGAGGACAAGGCTACTGGAGAAAAAGCAAGAGTTTAAGTTACAAAACTAGCACCATCTATAGAGACAATCTGACCAACGTTAAGACCCATTACTAAATGCTGGCATGCTGGGGAATGCAAAAGCATAAAGTGAATTAAGGCATTGTCCTTGCTCTCAAGAGACTTAAGGATTTTTTCTAGGAGGACAGTAGAGAATACCTAAAATACTGCTTATGGGTATTGAAGGGGAGAAGAGTCACCAAATAAGTTCTATCCAACCTTTGAACTCTAGACATTGGAGGTTGGAAGGTTATTAAATATTATATAATCCAATGCCCACATTTTATAGACAAAGAAAAACCCAGAAAAATAAAAGAATTTATCTAAGATTGCAAGGTTGGGACTAGACCCAAATTTCCTGACTTCTAATCAAGTGCTCTCTCCTCTGCATGACACTACCTCTCAGAGCTCAATGGACTTTCCTCATTTCTTGTTCTTCCCATAGTTAGGCTGCGACTAATCATGTCAATTAGACTCAGATTCATAGAGTTCATGTTATTTTCCCTTTACACTCTCCTCTTTGAAAAGTCGACTTCATAGTTTTTTCATAGTTTTACTTTAACAGATAATTTAAAAAAATATTAAGGACTTACATTGGTCTAGGGAGAGACTACCAACTCAAGTAAGGCATACTTCCTGCCTCTGAGGAATGTACTGTAAATGTAAACACCGAGTACAGCATTCTCAGGCACCAGCGCTGTGTGTGTGAAACTCATCATCACCACCCAGTCCAGTTTTCTCATGGAAATCTTTTTAGGTCAATGACACCTTAATTCTCCATGCTCCCTGGTAAAACCCTAAAGTTATTTTTGCTGCTCTGTCATGAAAGTGACAGTCTCAGGTTTTTTAATCCTCAATCTACCATTAGTTGATTAGTTTTGAAACCCTGGGCAGGTCACACCTTCTGGGTTCACTCTTCTCAATCAGGAAAAAGAGGACAGCACCAACTTGCACCTTCTTTCCAAATAAAATCAAATTCAAGGTGGGGGCATAATCACTTTCTTTCTTTCTTCCTTTCTTTTCTTTCTTATTTATTCATCCGTTTGTTTGTTTGTTTGTTTGTTTGTTTGTTTGTTTTTGCATAGCTCTCAGATTTATCCCTCCCCCTTCATGTTCATCATAACCAAGCCCTTCATTTCTGGGTTATTGTTAAGCAGGCTTCAAGTTCTTCCGCGTAGATGGGACTTGGTAAAAGCAACTTTAAGCAAGATTAAGCCTAGAGTTATGTAGGTCCAAAGGGAGCTAGAAAACTAGTTAAGACACCTGTTGGAATGGAGATCAATCTCCCAACAAAGCCTGTTGCTCAAGTCCCTTAGAAGCTACCTTCAGTTGGCGTCTCTGCTTTTACGTCACATGGCTCCTCGGCACCGGGTCTTGCCGCCCACACCTTCATGTCTTTCATGTTGGTTCTTTTCCTTCCTGAGGAAAGTTTTACCTTTTTGTAAGTTTAATTCCAACAGTTTCTTTAAGGCCAATTTCTTCCATGGAGTCAGTAATTTTTCCTTTCTCTTGTTATACAAATACTTAATAGTATCAACAATAATCTCCTTTTCTAACTTCCTCTAATGAATACTGTAAGCATAAAAGTGATGCTATGTAAAAACATTCATTCAACATTAATAGAAGAATGCATATAAAGGTGGTGTAAAAAGTATAACTTATTTTCTTTATTATTCCTTCTTATTTCCTTTACAAATTAAACCATTGGTTGTTGATCTTTTGGGGAGAGGATTGATATATACTTTTGTTTTAGAATATTTAATAAGAATATTAAAACGTTTTCTTGGTTCTAGCATCTTCTGATATATGAAGATGGCTGGACAAAGTATATGAATTGTTACCAATTAAGATATGACTAATTTAGGCAGACATTCAAACATGCAGTGAGTAATGTTATATAAATGCTGGCAGGCTAACTTATTCCATTATTAGATAAGCGCTGAAGACTATTTATAGTTCGGTCACGAAACAATCAGGGCCAATCTTGACCAAATGATTGTCACTGTGAGTCTTAATAATAGTAGAGAAAGATTTGGGGAAAACCTAAAGATTTATTTTCCCTCTTTCAGATTCTCTTATTGCTGCTGATTTCTAATTTGAATACCTTCTTCGGAGAAAGGCCACAATTAGAGGAGTTAAAGGGTTTAATGTGGCAAGAGGAAAGTAGTACTGTCATATCCCATCAATCCTCTCAGCACCCAATCTCTGAGAACATTCTCTGCACTGTCTTGTACCAGCTCCAAAAGTGATTTTCCCAAGAAATGGGTTTTAAGCAATTTCAGTGCCTATCAGTACTGAAAAAATATCCATTATATTACGAAAAGATTCTGTTAAGCAGCATTTGTTAATTACAATGGAGACCAGAAACATGCAAAGTTTCAAAGAAAACAATGGAAGGGAACATCTGAAAGCAATTTCCCCCATCCTTTGTTGTTCTGCTACTCACGGCAAATCTTCCAAACTGGAGGCTTCATGCCTTGGATCCAACAGATCATAACCACATTCATTGTAGATTTCCAAGTAGGAAATGTGCGTTGTGTATATTTTGCTGGTGTCCTGATTGGAAAAGGAGAAAGACATTACTTAATGGCTATAAATAACAATCCAGCTTAGAGGAAGATGAACACACTTATCACTGTAGTTTCCTCACAGTTTCTCTCCTTTTCTCTTTCACTTTGTATGGTTTACGTTTTCTGTTCGTGACACTTTCAAGTTGCCAGCAACCATACGCATGAAGCTTTTTTTTTAAAATAGCCAATACCCATGATTACAAGCAACTTCAGCCTGTTATTCTGTATTGGTTCCATGTTATACATAAAAGTCAATATACACGTACAATGAGCTGACTTGGTTGCAAAGCTGTATAACACCAGTTTTCACTTTCAGACAAAAAAAATTACTAAAGAAAACTTACATTCTGTGAATAGTCTATTCATAATAAAAAACAAACAAACACAGAATTTTTACTTTGGTTTAAAAGCTTCAGTAGCAAAGAGTTTCCATCTTTGATCATAATTTTTTAACTTTGCTAATACTCAAATTTTCAAATGATATAAATAGATAACTACATAATGGGAAGTGAATTCCAGAGGACAGAAATAGTTTAGATCAACCCGGTAAGAGTGGACATTACCAGTTCACGGCCTACACCTGACCCATTGGGTATTTATCCTGGCCCAAGTGGCAAATCAGGGATGTTCAGCTATTGAGTAGAGAGAGGTATTTTCTCTGGCTCACTGTCGAAATGCAGTGACACAGACATCAATGAAATTAGGATAGAAGTCAAGAGGACTGGTCCCAGTTTCAGTTTTGTCAACAGACAAAAAGGACCCACTCCCATTGGGGTGGAATAAAACAGTGAATTTCTTCAGGTCTCAAGGAAATTCCAAGTTCAGTTTTCAATACAAAATATCAACAGCACCTTCTTCTTGTTCCTCCCAAAATATAAATTCTTCCATTTCTGTACGTGCTATCCAGCTTCTCATAAGAGGAGAATATATTTGTGTTTGTGGCAAGAAGGCCGGTAGGTTGTCAGAGTGGCTACTCAGAGAGGATTTGCTTCAGATGACCTTCCTGATTGATTCTCATCCATATCCAAGACAATCCACTTAACAGGTGTTCTTCAAGGAGAGAGAGGACCAAGTCACAGAGATGGGGGCGGGGGAAAGCAGCGGCCTGTGAATCCGAAGCTGGAATCCTAGTCCTATTATAATAGCTAGGAGCCCCTACCACATCAGGCCTCAGTTTGCACTCATTAAAGTCAGAAGCTGGATAATGAATTCCTACGTGTTCTTCAGGTTAAAATTAATATGATTCACTGTTCCAGAAATGGCTCAAACTATCCAAATAAAGATACCACCATTTCATTAAAACAATGAAAAATTAAGGCAACTCTGAGCCAGCACACAACTATAGTGGAACGTTCAAACTACAGCTGAAATTTCATGTTCTGGTGTCTGTGCTGGCGACAGCATGGACCTAATCTCTACAAATCAAATGTCTCCCAACTAAAGGCTGGGAATCTTACTGACGTGGGTGCCTCTGGCTGCTTTCTCTGCAAATGATCTATCAGTTACATTAATATCCTGGTTTAGTAAAGGCACCATTTCAACAGAATCCTTCGGGTTGAAGTTTGGCTCAGTGCAGGTACCAGAAACTATAAATACTTAGACAGACTATGTGGCCTTCAGTCTTATCCAGCATTTCCTAAACTATCCCTGCAAATACTCATGGGAAAAACTGTTCCACGGTCAACACATACGTACTGTTGCTCTCTGGAAGATTCTCAGAGCACATTAAGGCCATGGCAACCTCCTGAGATCCTGTTTAAAACAGCATATTTCTAAAACTTATCTGAACATACCTGAAATACTCCATACATGATGGTTTGAGGTTTTAGCACATAGCTGTGAGCTCATCTTAGCATCAGACAAAAATCTGAGTTTGAATACTGGATCTGCCATTTGGAAGTGAGTGATCTTGTTCCCTTATCCTCAGTTGTTTAACCATAAGAATGAGGATAATAACCCTTAACTTGCAGATCTGTTGTGACAGAGAGATAGGGTCCTGCATTTAAAAGTCCTACCAAAAATGTGCGGCCTGTAATAGGCACCAATAAATTGTTGCTATTGCCCCTGTTATGATTATTATTGCTGTTGTTTTTATTATTTCTAAAAGCTTTCAGATGGAGAATTCAGTATGTGAATATACAAAGAAAAGAACGGCAACAAGAACAGCTAACTTGTATGTCCATCTGTGGTGGAGAAACTCTCTTCTTTCAGAAATAAGAAGAAATCATAAAAAGTCAGGAAAATGGCAGGCCCCCTGCCCTGAGATGAGAGGGACGACGCCTTCGGCTCCTCCGGCTTCTGCGTTTCCTGGGCTTTTATTGGAATACGTACTTAAAACTCACCGAGCTATGTGGCAAGCTACCTTTCCTTATTACCCTTTCTTTAGTGTTTAGAATTGCCAGACTCTAATGTAACACACATGTTTGCTGCAGACAGACTTTGCTCCTGCCCCAAAACAAGTCTGAACTTCACAATACTCAAAAATAATGAGCAGTGATTTCTAAAATAAATGGACTCAATTTTCTTCTTTTGAAATCATTGAAAATGTGCTCCTACCACACTCACAGGCACTTAAAGACCCAATATATACTGGCTCTTAAATTATCTTGAAACAAATACTTTGCATAAGTCAAATGCTTCCTTGAAGAATTCTAGAGAGCTCCACCTGGCCCTCTAAAGCAATCGACTGGGGACATCTGAGTACCTGTCTGCATTTTTCAGCTGTACAACGTGGACAAACTTTATGATGCACTGCAAGTCGTTTCTGACTTGTTTTGCCACAGTTACAGTTTGATTCTAATCAATGTGCTGTGCCCCATCATGGAAATTTACAAAGAGCTGTCCTGCATGTAAATTGGCCTGATGGGCTCTCTCAAACCCAGGAAGTTATTTAGAATCATTCAGAATGAAACGGGGTTTAGAGTAATGTCGCTGACAAACAGATATAAAACAATGAACCCAACTGATAGTAGGAACTTGGGAGACATTTGGGCTTTCAGAATTGTATTTTGGTAACCACAGACAAAATTTAAAAAGAGGCAAATACATGTTCTATTAAGAAAAGGTTGTTTATTCTTTTTTCACTTAATCAGGGAAATTGACTTTGTTTGTTCTGAGTTTCAAAGGATTCTTTGAAATTGGTCGGGGATCATTAGTCCATATGTATATATAGTACAGTAAGTCCTCACTTAACATTGTTGATACGTTCTGCAACTTTAAGCAAAATGGCCTATAAAACCAATGTTACCATAGGCTAATTGATATAAACAAGAGTTAAGTTCCTATGGCAACTCATCAATGTTATAATGAAGCTGTTGAACAAAACAACATTATTCAAGGACCTGTTGTATATGGATAGTAACAGCTGTAGTAATAACCATCATGTACTGAGATCCATGATGTGCTGGGAACGGGACAATTCCTTCACATACTGAATGCTCAGCTCTCGCAGCAACGCCACAAGCCTGAGACTGAAGTAGCTGCCCCAAGGCCACATGTAGTGGTATACTTTCTCAGAAGCAGGTCAGTCTGCATCGATTTCAAGAAAACAGGCCACCACAGTAGGCCACAGCAGCAAAAAAGATTAGAAAGTATATTCCCAGTTTGTGAAATCTGGGAAAAAAACAAAACAGCTAATGTCAGAAATAAATGAGTAAATGAAAAGAAGTGGTTTGGATCCAACAGATACACTATACTCAACCCTGTCTCTTCCAAATTTTCTGGCATGCAGAGTTGGAATGTCTGAGCTAGTGAGAGATGAGCTGAACTAATGGGTAATTGCTACTTTATGGATGAAAATTAGAATTATGCAGATCTCAGCAATTTCTTCTCATCTTTGCAACTTAAAATGCAAACAGCACAGAGTCGAGAAATTTTGGAATGAGTGTTACACTGACCTAGTTAGGAAATTTGTTATACAGAATTAGTACAGCCGAGAAATTGTTGGAACTAGCAGGGATGCTGGATATCCTCTAGCACAATTCAATCCCTACTTTCATGGAGGGGAGGACTGAAACCCAGAGAAGTGACTCATTGTAGAGAATTTGTTTAAATACAACCAACAAAGTAAAGTCACTCTGGGATACAGAGGCAGTGGATGTAGTGGTAAAAAGCACAGAGTTTTGCATCAGACAGACCTGGGATCGAATTCCAGATCAGTTACATACAAGGACCCAGAGATAGATATTTAATCTGAGACTCAGTTTTCTCAACTATAAAATGGGGATAAGGATACCCACATTGTTGGTTGTATTATATGTTGCATTAAATACTGGTAAAGCAACAGGCACCGGAGCCACACAATAAATGATGCATATACTGTAGAAAGGGAATTCGACTTTATACAAATACTAATTGCCATAGGGTTTTTACCCTGGTAAATTCCTCTGCACTTCTATTAAAAGTGTGATAAAGGAAGAAGCACATCATCCTATTCAGTGGTTTAGCAGCTAAAATTACAGTCTGTTTGGCAAAAGGGCATTCTTCTGTTTCTTAGTGAGGAATGGAAGGTATCAGTTGGTAAATGTGTTATCTGTTCTTTTAACCTCCATTGTGTATCAGAAGAAACTCCCTTTCAGCTTTTGCTGAAACAGCATCCCTTTAATTAGAAGCACCTTAATTTCCACTTTTTCAGCAAAATCCCAAACTTCTCTTAAATGTAAAGGACAGAGTTATTACACAATAATGCTTCCTCATTTAGATATCATATACTATAATGCCACAATGTTTTTTTTGCCCACAGTACAATTCTGCTGAGTTTATCAAATAAAAAAATGAACTCACAGTTGCATACCTTTTGTAACTGCTCAAAAATGTACGACAGTGTCCTTGGGATAATGCCTCTGTCACTGTAGCGCTCCGCCCCACCGGTGATGGTGAATGTCTTACCGCTGCCCGTTTGCCCATATGCAAAGATGGTACCATTGTAACCTGCCAGGACACTGCAAAAAGAAAGGGCACACTTTTGGTATCAAAACGGCTAATTGTATTAAATGGCTCATATTATAATAGCAACCTGATTCACCACTATTGAAAAGACACCTATACAATTATTTATACATGTTGAGTGTCTAACTGGATTTGCTTTTTTATCCAGGAGCATCAGCACGTGGATTGTTTTCTCTAAAAAGGACCTGCAATGAAAATGGGGTCTGGGCATCTTAATATATTATTTTAAAATTAGGATAAAATTTTTATTTTAGAATGGTTTTACATGTGCAGAAAAGTTGCAAAGATAGTACAGAGAGTACACCCCGCCCCTAGTTTCCTCTACTGTTAATGTTTTACATTAGCATTGTACATGCCTCACAAATAATGAACCAATATTGATATAGTATTACAAACCTGATTAAATTTTCCTTGGTTTTTACATGTCTTTTTCTTTTTTATATCTTTACCCAGATATAATTGACATATAACATATACAAGTTTGAGGTTTACAGTGTGATGATTTGATATACACATATATTGTGAAATGATTACCACAATAATATTAACATATCCATCACCTCACATAATTACCATTTCTTTTGTGGTGATAACGTTTAAGAACTACTCCCTTAACAACTTTCATA